ATACGGTCGCTGATCGTGACTACAAGTATAAATAAGAAGAGAAAGTAGCTACTTACTCATAGTCTATAGGAAGGGGTGTTGAGGATACCAATTTTTTTTTTTTTAAGATTTTATTGGGGATTTGGGGGAGGGAATAGCATTGGGGAATCGGGGAAGGGGAACAGACAAGTTGCTGTCCTTTTGTTCTTCAGTCTAGTTGTGGAAGACGTCGCCTCACTGGCCCATGTTGGTATTATGATCATTGCACTCTTCCCGGCCGAGGCAGATCGGTGGCCAGCCATTGGACGGCCGCTCACGGCAGCCGCCGGCCACTCACGGCAGCCTACGGCAGCCCACTGCAGCCCACGCTGTCACCAGCGACCCATGGCAGTCCAGCTCCAGGTCGAGCTGTTGTTCACCATCTTAGCTATAGAGAGCACAGCATCACTGGCCCATGTGGGATCCGAACCGACAGCCCTGCTGCTCAGAGCTCGCGCTCCCAAGCCAACTCTTAATCAGCGAGCCACTCCAGGATACCAATTTTTAATGCCTTCTGAGGATACTTAAATTGACACAGAGCGTTTTTCAAAACTTAGCAAATTTCTGAGAAGATGAAATTATATATCTTCATTAGACAGTTTTTCTATCCCTATCATTGACATTTTAAATGAGACAATAGATAATAGTTCAGCATGTTTAACCTGTTCAACTGCCTAGATTCAAACACAAAAGTGAATGTCATCTAGTTTCCCAATGTGGGCTGGCTAACCCCAGACATTATCTACAGGGCCAAAGATGATGATTTTGGACTGTACACTTAGACACAGCTCTCCATAACATTGAATTATGGGTCTTTCATTAGAGAACATTTAGCTGACCCTTTGTGAAAAATAATTTAATTTTCAACAACAGAGGACTGGGATCCATGGCTCTTAGGTTGCATCCCAGGTGGCTGTTTGTTTATATGTGGTCATTCCTAATCTAGAGTCCTTTTTCAGCAGCTTTGGTTCTCTTCTAACCATGTAAAAACTATCCATATAACCACATCGAAATATAATCATTGCATTTGTATGTTGTCGTACTATCCTGCTGAGCTTCTTGTACTTTGCCTAATAGTTATTTATTTATTTGACATCATAACAGCCCAGTTTACACCTTGCTCAACCAAGCTTTGGATGGTGCATTTCAGCTGAAGGCTGTTAACTATTTGTAATTAGCTTCAATTGTGTTGAATACTTGCTGACATTTTCCCAGTGCCATGCTCCCTGCCTGTGTCTTGTCAATAACATGTGAGTTCCTTCTGTGTTATCACAATTGCAGCTCTCTCTGTCCTAGAGTACTAGAATAGTTAAATGAAGATTTGTATTTCTGGAATGGTTATACTCGACTGTCCCTTTATGAGCCTCCTGACCCAGTCTCTTCTGCTTTCTTTGGGGCAGGTTGCATGATCAGATGGTAAAAATCAACCAAAATCTGCATCGGCTGCAGGTTGCCTGGCGGGATGCTCAGCAGAGTTCTAGCCCTGCTGCTGACAACCTCCGTGAACAGTTTGAACGACTAATGACAATCTATCTTTCTACCAAGACTGCCATGACAGAGCCACAGATGCTACAAAACTGCCTAAATTTGCAGGTGTCCATGGCTGTTCTATTGGTTCAACTGGCCATAGGCAATGAGGGCTCACCGCCAATAGAGCTAACTTTTCCTCTGCCAGATGGCTACAGTTCTTTGGCTTATGTACCAGGTAAGCAAGCTGTCCCTTAGGAACTTCCTATTTATAGCCATCCAAGTTTAACTGGGTCACTTTGGAAGTTTAATCCTCAAAATACCCTTCCTTAATTGTCATTCAGCTGTTTTTGGGAAAACTACTCAAACTTGTAGATAATATCCTCTGGTGAAAGCATAGGAGAACTGAGACCTTTTTCCTCAGCCTTCTGTCCCCACTGCTATGCGTATCGGAAAATTGTCTTCAAAGGACTAAGGGCAGTCTGGGCTTTCAGAGCTGTTAGCTTCTATCATTAATATTGTTTGTTATTCAACTTAGAAATTAACTCTCCCTGTGCTATTCTTTAGGGGNGCATTCAAAATTATACTCCATTTGGTTACATTTATCATTTTTGGTAGTATGCTTGGTTTGCTATTAAAAGAGGAGTGTAATTGTTAATGGCTTACATTTTTTGGCAGATGAACTCCCAGCTAGCCCGGATGACTCAGATAATAGTGTGTCAGAGAGCCTGGATGAATTCGATTACTCTGTGGCTGAGATTAGCCGCTCATTCCGTTCACAGCAGGAAATATGTGAGCAACTCAACATCAATCACATGATCCAAAGGATCTTCCTCATTACTCTGGACAATAGTGAGTTACAGACTTGCAGCCAGCCTGTTCATTACTGTGCTCTTCCTCTTGGGCTTGGGACTTGCTCTTAAAAATCTATTGTATCGAATGGTGAAACAAACCATACTGCCTGGAACACAGGGCTTATATTTCAGTGAAGCTTTTGATGTGACCTAAAATCAGTATTTAGACACAGATGCAACTTTCATTCCCATTTTGATTCTGACTGGGCTATATAGCTACTTGCCTTTACTACCCTACAGGGGAAATGGGAATGGTAACCAAATCCATTTTCTTCTCAGAGGTGACCTAAACATTTGGATGAAAGCCTTAGAGATGTCAGACAGTGTTTTCCCTCTGTGCCTTATCTGTAGTTAAATCCAAAGTTAGTGCTGATGTCTTGGGTTTACTCTTTAAATGTCATGATGTTGGATTTATAACAAGCCCGTCCTCTTTAACTGGGGGAAAGAAAAAAGTTTAAATCTTTAGATACTGCTTTGTTTGTCAAGATCATTCTGATACTACCTGAGTCAAACTTGGAGTTCAAGAGAAGTGCTGTCAAGATCAGTTGTCTGTTATAAAACAGAATCATAATCCTTAACCTACCAGATTGAAACCATTTCCCAGGTGACCCAAGCTTGAAAAGTGGGAATGGCATCCCCAGCCGCTGTGTGTATTTGGAAGAAATGGCAGTAGACTTGGAAGATCAAGACTGGCTTGATATGAACAATGTTGAGCAGGTACCGTTCTTATATTCCTTATGTGTGCCTTTAGCAAAAATTAGCCATGCAGCTGAACTCTGCTTACCTTTCTCCAACCATGACTTTCCTTACGTCCATCTCTTACATTGTTTGTGGTGTTCTTCTTTTGAAATCTTCCTGTCTAACTTGGCCACATGTCCAAATCCACCCATCCTTTAAGACCCAGTTAAAATGCCATCTTATTTACAAAGCCTGTGAGGTAGTTGTTATTCTATCCTCTGAGTTCCTAGAATAATCTATCTATGCATTTTTTTATGGGAATTGACACTTTCTGTCTCATGTAGTGGCTTTTCTTTGTACTTGTCTTATCACCCCATTAGACCCTTAAATTCTTGAGAGCAAGGCCTATCTCTTCTTTATATCTTTTCCAAAATCAAAACAGGCATTAGGTAAAATGCAAGTAGTGCCTAATTTAATGTTAATTAGGAATAAAAGTTTGTCAGGGAAGACACTTGACAACTTGTATTTTAACTTTGTACATTTAAATTATCTTTATGTAAGTCTGAATAAGGTCAGCAATCACACGGAGTAGTAGATTTCACATAAGTTTAATCGCTGATTCTCCACACCATTCAACAGAATTCTTTTAATGCTTACTGTGTGCTAGGGGTTATGCTAAACATGTGAGATTGGTTTAGGATAACTACATATACACAATTTTGTTTGTATATATAAATATTTTCTAAAGTAATAAGACACTGGGTCCTATTTTCCCCTTCACTCTATATCCTGTGATTCTCACAATAACCTGTGTCAGAATTACCTTTTACATCTTAATGTTCTAAGGTTAACTTTGCAGTGGTTTAGTATTTTTTTATTTGTTTTTCTTAATAGGCTGTCTTCGCTCGCTTATTACTTCAAGATCCAGGCAACCACTTGATTAACATGACTTCTTCTACAACGTTGAATCTCTCTGCTGATCGAGATGCAGGAGAGAGTCATATTTTTTGTTACCTTTATTCCTGCTTCCAAAGAGCCAAGGAAGAGGTAATAATAATAATTTCCACTGAGTACTATATTATCCTCGTGGGTATGACTTTAACATATATACCAGAGAGTTGGATCAGTGTCTTTTATATCAATTTATATACATCATAGTATATGTGAAACTATTGGGTTGTCGGAAAAGTCATGACGTATTTTTTCTGTTTTTTGTTGCAAAAATGCATCATGACTTTTCCGACAACCCAATAGATAGCAGAGGCACTATTGGTTTGTCTTCTAAAGTTGTTTTTTTTGAAATTTTATTGGGGAACAGTGTGTTCCTCCAGGACCCATTAGCTCCAAGTCAAGTAGTTGTCTTCAATCTAGTTGTGGAGGGTGCAGCTCCTTGACCCATGTGGGAATCGAACCAGCAACCCCGGTGCCATAAGCCTGTGNTTTTATTTAAACATTCACCATATCTTTTGGTCACGCCTTGTGTCTTCTACCCTGGAAGAGTGTAGGATGGGACACACAAGGTCATGAATACCAGGAGGCAAGGACCATCCTAGAGGCTAAGTACAGTGTAGAATCTGTATCTACAGAGAATCAGATGTTTGGCTAATCCCAATGAATATTTTCTTTTTCAGAATTTTTTGCAGATAACCTAGGTGATTGCCTCATTTTTCTCCGCCGGTTTGCCGATGACATCTTGGAGACATCAGCAGATTCCCTGGAACATGTCCTTCACTTTATCACCATTTTCACTGGAAGCATAGAAAGGTGAAGTGCTGAAAGTTTGACTCTGTCACTGTTTAGACCTGCAAAACATTTAGCAGACTTCTAATCCAAGAAATAAACAAGTCTGATTCATAAGGGGTTGCCTTCAGAAGTTGTGTTAACATTAATGAATCACCTGACCATCCTTATACATAGCCAAAAATCCCACTCTTGAGACGCATAATAAGCAAAGGACTTTGTCCACAGAGAATTTCAACTTGCACGTAAGGTTCCTGGTGGGAATTCCACTGTTAGTCCCTAGTTAAAATAGTTACCTTGATGCCAGAAACCTTGCCAGTGGCAGCCAAGTGCTAATGATCTTCTAATAATTATATGATGAAGTTTTCTCTTAAAATCTTGAGTTGAATGAACAGTAAATTTAGGTAAGCGCTTTCTGATCTCAAGTCTTCTTATTCATAGCTTCTAGTCCTCTTTCTTAAAGGAACATAATCACTGACCTGTAAAGTTGCTTCTCTGATTTTTGGGGTGCTTAGGCCAAAGGAAACAAACAGTGTGTACATATGTAAAGATTTGCTCCACCAAGAAGAAAATGATCCATGATCCCTGGAGCAATGTCAGTGAGAAAAAGGCAGAAGCCAATCCTTCACTGAACTGAGCAGATCCAATGAGAAATCATAAGTGAGCACGTGTTTATTAGGCACACCTGGTATGCATTGTAAGAAATGTAGAATAATTATATCCTGGCCTTTGCCTTCAGAAAGCTTGGAAAGGCAAGTTTATCCTAGATGAAACAGTCAGAGAATAGTAAGCAGTAAATAATGCATTATCATAGAGCAGTAAACAGAATGACTAACATTAAATAGAAATGTAAGTACTTACCCAGTACTTGGTAAGCTGGGACCTCAAAAGTTGAATGGTATCTCCTGCATTATCCCCCCCAAACTGACACACTTAAAACTGCAGAATCCTGTTTTTTCCTGCAATGGTGGCATAGGATGTTTTGGCTCCTCCTGTGGAGAGAATAATAAAAAATTTGGGAGTTAAGTTTTCTACCTGCTCAGCTTGCTTTCTGCCCTATTTGCAGGATGAAAAATCCCCACTTAAGGGCCAAACTAGCCGAAGTGTTGGAAGCAGTGATGCCCCACCTGGATCAGACCCCAAATCCCTTGGTATCCAGTGTATTCCACCGGAAACGTGTGTTCTGCAATTTTCCTTATGCACCCCAGCTTGCAGAAGCACTAATCAAGGTCTTTGTGGACATTGAGTTTACAGGTAAAGCAGTCTGGAACTGACAAGCTGATACTTGTGGAATTTTGTTGCTTGATCAGTATTTGAATATCAGAAAAATGTTGTCAGCCATCGTTTATTGAATTCCTACTATGTGCCAGCCTTGATGTTAAGTGCTTTTTTTTTTACATTGTTTCATTAATTTGTCACCATTTGAAAAGTTTTACCATATTATCCTTGTTTTACATATGAGAACATGGATCCTCAAAAAGTAAATTATTTGTCTGTGTCATACAACTAAATGGAGAATCAGGTCTGTCTCACCTAAAACACATACTGTTATCAACTTTATTATATTGCTTGATCAAATCATACTCAAATCAGGCTGTCCAATTAAAACCTGGGTCTTTTTCTCTGCCTCAAATTTGCAGAATAGTGGATAATGAGATAATGTGATGGTTGGGATAGTCTTTTATCTTATTCAGACTGTCTTAACAATCTAATCATTAGATTAAGAATAACAGCAGGCAACATTCCCTTCCTCTCTTGGCCTTTGAGATCTAACCCTGAGATGATATGTTTGAGTAAACAGTACTTCATCTCAACCAATATACAGGAAATGTTAAGCAATTACTTAAGACCCCTTTTAAAGGTGATGTCCTATCCAGTGATAAATACAGCTAACATTTAAAGAGACATTTATCATTTTATTGACTGCCTTTCCATATTTGAATTTTGGCTTCATCACTAACTCATCTCGGAGCTTTAGTTTCCTCATCTGTAAAGCGGGTTGAAGTAATAAGTAAGTGAGATAGCACATGTAAATCTTCATAATACATAAGAAGTTGCAAAATAAATCATTGTATTTATCTCATCATATGACCATTACAACCCTTTGGTAGTAGAGGATGTATAATTCCTTTCTTATTTCTGAGGAAGTGAAAATTGCAAAAGGTTAAGAGACTTGCATTGTGTGGAGCCAGATGGAAGACCTAGGTCTTCTGACTCCACCATATCCCATGCTCTTCCTTTATTATATGACCCAACCTATCGTGCTCTGGTGGTACCATTGGTATGTCAAAAGCAACATAAGCCTCAGATTTTTGCTTCCCAACCTGATTTTTCAGAGTAATCAAGAATGAGTTNCCGCTCACCGGATCCTGCCCCCTCAGCCCAACCCCACGGCCACTTCCGGCCACTTCCGCACCGCCCTAGCGAGGTGGCGCAGGCGCCGTGGGGGTGTTTGCGCGCCAGTTTCCCGCGTTGGGCGACACGCCCTGTTTCCGGCGCCCAGATGAGATTCCCCAAGACCTGGCGCCTAATCATGATGTAAGCTCCGGTTACCCGGCTGAGTCGGAAGTGGGAACTCTTCGGCCGCTGATAATCTGTCGTGTGTCGTCGCTGCTGGCCCTTCAGGCTCTGGTAAGAGAGGAAATAGCTTGAGGGGCGGGGATCCTTGAGTCTGCAGTGGGGTTTTCTTCTCTTAGTCGAATGCCAGTCCTGAGCCTCGGCACTCTTACCTCCTCCAAATCCCTTGTCCTGTGCTCTCCTTCATGAACTTCGACCCTGATTTGGGAAGCCCGTGCATGCTGCAGCTTCTGGCATCACTTCCTCTCTTTGCCATTCCCCTCCTGGAAAAGGCCTGAAGACTGGCCTTGCATGATCTTTGACTTCCTTTTTGTAGAATGAGCGGAGTTAGTGGGTCTACCTCCTTGCCCCGAAGACCTTATGGAACCTGGAGGGATAAAATATAGAGTAGACAACAGATAGCCAGATACCAGAGAAGATAAAAAAAATTAAGCATGAGTCGTAGTAACCAAACCATTTGAAAACATACGGCAATGTGTTGACATTTCTTAAGGAAAGTGATCAGTTCACCACCCAAAACTCTCCTGGCACTCTGCTTCACGTTCCCTCAGCAGTTGGATTTAGAAGACCCTTCTAAAATTGAGTAACCACAGCTCAGGAGCTTGTATTTGATGGGTCTCCTCTTTGGGATCAGTTTTTCTCTCCCAGAGCAAGGATGTGTTTAGTCTCACTTGTCAGAGACTGTTTTGGTCTCACATGGGAGCCCGCCTGAGATAAAATGGGACCCAGTGCTGTCTGCTTTTTGACTTGATGATATCCTTCTAGCTTGCTGATGTATTGGAAGGATCTGTTCCCACATTAGAGGGGCCTGAAAGGATTATTGGGTGAAACATACAAAATTTAATTCCTTTTTTTTGTTTGTTTGATGTATGTATCACTCACCAGGACGGAGACCTTACAGAGTATGATTTAATAGAGCTTAATTTTGACAATCCCAGTTATACAAAGTACTCCAGATATTTCTGTTTAAAAGCGATACCAAGTCTGATGTTAAAACATTTGTGTGCTCGCCTCTTTAAGAGCTGATGGTGGCCCTTAAGGGATTAGCAGTACTGTTTATAAACAAAGGATTGAATCAGGGGAGGGTGAGAGGATTTTGTAGGACTGGAAGTGGATAGCTATTACAGATGTAGACCCTTGTAGAAAGTACATCAGAGTGAAATGTATTTTTAAGGACTTAAAATTGAATTAAATCCAAAAGCTTTAAGGATTGGTGTTTGTACCATCCCAAAGGCTAACAACGGGATAGTACTGTATCTCTGTATGGCAGTTGAAAATAGCAGACTATAAATTCCCAGTGACATTGAATATTAAAACAAAATATCAAGGTTCCATTTTTATCAGACCTTTCTTTTGGAGTGGGTGATATCTAGGTACCCTTTTTACATTTGTGAGACCATTAGACAAATCTAAACTGATATCTCCACAAAGGTTCTCATCAAGTGATTAGTCCTCCCTTTTCCTGTAAAATTTTTCTCTTATGTGGTTACATGTTGTTAGCCCTTTTTCTATGGAAATCTTAATAGCTGTGCACAGATTTGAAGTACATATGCAAAAGATAAGGTTAGTGAGATAGGCAAAAACCTCCTTGCTTTTCAAAAAGACAGAAAAACAGAGATGACAACAGATTTATGTCCATTCTCTATTCTACAAATACAGAGATACCATAGAGCCACCTGTCTGATACAGTAGCTTGCCCTTCCACTGCAATCAAAGACAAATAGTAAAGCCTTTACTGTAAAGTAGGCTCTTGGTGCTGCAATTGATTATGAGGTCAGGAGTAATTACATGTAAGATTGAATTATTCAATATTTATTTGGGATATTGTGATTATGATATATAATGCCAGACACAGAAGAAAAAATAATCAGATATGAACCTGTACTCCAATTACTTACACTTCCTAAGGCAGAAGATCTGCATTAGGAATACGATGTAGAAAGTTATAAATCTTATTAAAAATATAGACAATGTAATGGAACACTAGCTTCTTTATATAATGTGACAGTATAGTATTGAAAAAAAGGAAGAGATAATGCCGTTTATCATGCTAAATCCTCTGTATCTCTCTTGATAGTCTTAAGAGCCTGTCATATGTTCTGTATTCCTTTCAACTTACAGTCGACCCTTGAACAAATGGGTTTGAACTGTGCCAGTCCACTTACATGCGGATTTTTTCCAATAAGTATATACAGTACAGTAAATGTGTTTTCCGTATGATTTTCTTAATAACATTTTCTTTTCTCTAGCTTACTTTATTGATGGACTATGGTATATAATACATATAACATACAAAATATATGTTAATCAACTGTATGTTATTGGTAAAGCTTTTGGTCAATGGTAAGCTATTAGTTAAGTTTTGGGGAATCAAAAGTTATAAGTGGATTTTCTACTGCATGGGGAGTTGGCTCCCCAACTCCTATGTTCTTCAAGGTTCAACTGTCCTTCCTTTCTGCATAGACGATGCAAATGATGCATCTCCTTTGTACTAACCTGAAGTCTTTGCAGCTGTATTTTTTAAAAACCCATTCAAACCTGCTTGCACAATATAGGGAAATCTATTGGCTTTTACAACTGGAAAAAAAACCTTTCCGTCTCTCATTTCTGTTTTCCTGTATTGGCTCAATTTTAGGCTAAGCCTTTCTAGATGGTGGAAAGATGGCAACTCCACATTTATATCTTAACCAGCTTAGCAATCTGAGCAGAAAAAAAGAGTTCCCTTTTCTGTAGATTCAGCCAAAGGCCTGAAGCTGGTGTTTATTGAATCTGATAGGCCTTGCTAGGATCTTGTGCCCACACCTGAATCAGTCATTCTGGCCAGAGAATGCTGTATTCTTTTTAGCCAGGCCAGATTCATATGCCCATTCCTGGAGCTAGTAGGTGAGGTTATCCCCTTCTAAACATGTGGACTGGGAATGGGATGGATCCCCAAAGGAAAAATGTGGTTGTCATGTTGAAAAAAGAGAATGATGTTTGGAGACAGAAAACAACAAGAGCTCACAACACTTTTTACCTTCCTCTGGAGTTCACAGTACTTTAGGATAGAGGTAGGGTGGTGGTCGGGTAACAATGAGACAGTTCTTGTACTGTATATGAATTAGAGGTAATAATTAGGTTTATGCAGTGGTTAAATGGGGGGAAAATCCTCTCCAGGATTATTAATTTCAATACTACATATGCTTTTTTTGCATTATTAAGCTCAACTAAACTATACATTGCAAAAAATAAAATACATAAAGCAACATCTAATAGTTCAATTCATTGAAGCAATAAAGCCCAGCACCATGCTGAGAAATTAGACTGCCTGCCTAAGTCATTACAGCTAATTAGCCATTAGCTTTTATGCAGAAAACACAACAGAGGAACATGAAGCAACTGGTGGAGATGCCTCCAAATTGTCAAGAAGTGTTATAGTCTTTCTTCCTCCAAAAAATAAGGGTAACTTCCGACTTGCATTAGCTTTTGTTAATATGATTCAGTAAGGAGTCTTACTTTAATAAATTAAAGGTCGACCAAATGTTCTTTTTTCTCCTTATACCCCTGCCCCGACTCCTTCTAAGGCCTCTGTTCTTATAGCTGTTCAACATCTTATACCCATACCCACTGTCTCTTCACACACTTTTGAGGGTTATATTTCTATACTGTGGCCTTAACCTTTCAGGAAGGGGAGAAAGCCTTTTCAGGGAGCTCTGTTCATATCCCATTGTGCCACCAAGTCCCCCTGGCGCTTGAATGAGGGAATATAATCAGAAGAATGCAAATGTAGGCTGTCAGCTCCACTGAATACCTTTGAGGTATATATCTATTTCACATTACACATTAGGAATTTGTGTTTCTTCAGTATTGTAAAAACTCAGATAAACAGCAAAAGCCAAATATAGAATTAAGCAAAGATCATTTCGTTTTTAGTGGAGGAAATATCGGTAGTTGTAAACGTAGGAGTAAAGATAGATTGCTCAATATATATTTAAAATCCACAACATGCTGCTGTCTCGTTCCTATCCTGATTTGCCATTTCATGTCTTAAAGGCTTATTACATTTAGTTTACATGCAGCTGAGGAATTCCCAGCTCCAATAAATAGTCATAGAAGCCTGAGCAGGTGCCACCTTATGCTCATGGTGAATGAGAACTAGCCGGCCAGCCTAGAGATCTCTGGGAAATCCATAGTTCTTGTGGTATTATTTTTAAGTGCCACATTGTTGTTACAATGTAGTAGGTGAGTTCCCTCTTTGACTTCAGTAATTCTTTCTACTTAACCTATTTTTTAACGGTATAGCAAATAAAAACATGTCAATAGATAAATGCATTCCAGCTTTTTGTAAGCTTTTCATAAGATTTTTGGTTTTAGCCACCCCCCAAGCCAGGCCCACTTGTCCAGTTAGTAGGTTTGTAACCACTTTGCTAAAACATCTTGAATCTTGGAACAGGAATTGGAAAGTCTTACCCTAAGCTTTTAAAGTATGTTGTATTTGTGAAATAGGAAAAGAAACACCTACGGGGTATATTACAACTGTTGTGTTATCTGACCTTCTGTATCTAATACCTGTCCTTTCTATAGCCCCTCCTGCAAGGTCTGGATGGAGGACATTTTAAAGTGAAATGACAGACCAGGAGAATAACAACAACATCTCAAGTAACCCCTTTGCTGCTCTTTTTGGCTCCCTGGCTGATGCCAAGCAGTTTGCAGCAATCCAAAAAGAGCAGCTGAAGCAGCAATCTGGTAAGTGGAGGAGCCAGTGGCAGCAGATGAGATGACCTAGAATGGGGTCTTCCCAAATCAACTACTCTTTGAGTCTTTAATTACAATTGGAATTTAAGTTTGGGGCAGAAGATGTTTTTTGTTTGCTTAGGACATAAGTTAGGGTGGTTTTTTTGTTCATTTTTGTTTGTTTTGTTTTGGGGTCCTTTCCTCCCTGTCCTCCCCCAAGCATAAACAGAGACCAGATAATAGGTGTTTCTGTAATAACAGATGCCAGTTGTCACCCCAGACTGTCAAGCTGTTTTATTTTAAAAATCATCTAGTAAAAGATATTTAAATAAATCTTTTTTTTTAACATAGGAAACTGAGGTTGTAGGTAGAGTACGGAAAACAAGCCACATGCAGCTATAGAAACAGATGTGTACAAGGAAGAATTGTAAGAGCTTTTTGGCCTGTAGACAAATGAGATTTGTTCTTAAGCTCAGTGCTTCAGAGCAAAATGCTTCTTCCACTCCATGGAGTGGGCACTATCATAGCTTACTGCTAATAGAACAGAGTTCTAAGAAAATCTGATCCTTAGCCTTAATGTGAAAGAAAATTAGAGTAATATCTCACTGATCAGGAAAATGGTTTTCCTCTTCTGGGACCAAAGTTAAGATCAAGCCTAGCTTCCACCTATAAGGAGACATNTTTTTTTTCATCTTTCAGGAAGGATTCACCCTTTTTTCACTGTAGCCTGTTTGGTTTTGCCTGGGTTTCATATATTACATTATTTATCCTCCTTTCTATTTCATAGACTATAATATTTCTAGGGGAATTACCAATAAATCTACCCAGGCTGAAACAGATATATATGGAACCACAATTTTTTTTAAATTTTTTTCCCACAATTCTTTTTAATCTTCAGCCCTGTGATGAGAAATAAAGGCTCATGTCTCTTTTATAGTCCCTGGTTTTCCCAGCTTGGTGGACTAGATTTTAAATAGAACCTCTTAAATATCATCTTCCCTTCAACTGCACTTTCTTCTCTGATACACTCCACCTCTGGTTTCTATAGTATTTGAGCAAGATAAAGATTCAACAGATTGAGAAGGACCGAGGTGAATGGGATAGTCTGACTCCAGAAGCCCGCCGAGAGAAGGAAGCTGGCTTACAGATGTTTGGACAACTGGCACGTTTCCATAACATCATGTCCAATGAAACAATCGGTACCCTTGCCTTTCTCACATCAGGTAAGGACACAAAGTACTGCTTTTCCCAAAAATGCAGTGGTCAAGATATGCTTCATTTGAGGGATCAGCCCAGGTGAAACTAGGAATTCAGTCTCTGGTGACAGTATTCTCCACAGTCTGAGAGGGAAATGAATCACTAGAGAAGCTTCAACAAGAATGATGATGTCCATTGTTGATATGGAAATGAGAAAATGGCTACCTCACACAGCTGCCAGAAAGCATAAGTTGGTAGAATTTCTCTTAAGGACAAGTGAGCCATAAATATATCAGGGTGGGGGGATTATTAAACAGAGAAATATTCTTAAACTCTGGTTAAATGCAATAGATCAAACAAAGATATTTATTCCCACTCCCTCTAGAACTGCACTGTCCAATTCAGTAACCACTTGCCACATGTGGCTATCAAGCATTGAAAATGTGGCTAGTCTGAAATGAAATGTGCTATAAGTAAATATATACTACAAGACTTAGTATTTTAAAAAGAAATATTTCATTAAATAATTTTTATATTGAATACACATGAAATGACAACCAAGGATCACCAGACATTTAAGGAAATCCTCTAACATGAAACACAGATAATAAATGAAAACTTTTATTAAATCTTTATAATCTCAGAGGGATAAGAGAAGTTATACTATGTCAATTGAAGCATTAGAAGATAAATTCAGGGAGCTGTTCTATGAAAGTAGAACAGAAGGAGATAGAAATTAGAAGAGAAAGGATAAGAAAATAATGGATCAATCTGGAAGTTTCAGAGAATTGGAAGGGAAGAAATTATCAAAGAAATAATACCAAAACATTCCCAAAGACTAAAAGCCTCTAAATTAAAAGGAGCCACCAAATGTTCACTACAGGGAATTTTTAAGACCCCGCACTAAGGTTTATCATTGTGACATTACAGAAAATCAGGGTAAAGTGACGATCCTAAAAGGTCCCAGAGAAAAATCAGGTTATGTACAATGGTTTAAGAATGTCTTTGAATTTCACCATAGTGACATTTGAAGCTGGAACACATTCCTTATGGGAAATATTTTTCAGCCTACATAGAATCCTATAGCCAACCAAATCAATTTTGTTTGAGGATAAAATGTAACATTTTTAGTCGCAAGGTATCAAATTTACTTACATACCCTTTCTTGAGAAGCTACAAAAAGATACACTCCATCAAGGCCTGTGGCTCATTTTTTTAGAACAGGAGCTCTGCAAGCTCTAAGCAATAGGGTCACCAGTTCAATTCCCACATGGGCCAGTGAGTTGTGCCCAAGCTGAGCTGCCAATGTGTGGCCGGATGGCTCAGTTGGTTAGAACACGCACTCTTAACAAGTTTGCCGGTTTGATTCTTGCATGGGATGGTGGAATACACCCCTCTCCCCCTGCAACTAGATTGAAAGCAGTGACTGGACTTGGAGCTGAGCTGCACCCTCCACAACTAAGATCAAAGGACAACAACTTGACTTGGAGCTGATGGGTCCTGAAAAAACACGGTGTTCCCCTTCCCCAATTCCCCAACACTGTTCCTTTCCCCAATTCCCCAATAAAATCTATAAAAAAAAAAAGATACACTCCATCAAAATGAGGGAGTAAACCCAGAAGGAGGAAGGTGGAATCCCATAAGAGATGCAAAAGAAGTTCCCAGGATGATAGGTTCTCTTAAGCAAACAAACAAAAGAAATACTTGTGTCAAAATGTATACAGTTGACCTTCAAACAACATGGGGGCTAGGGGCACCAACCCCCCCCCACCCACGCAGTCAAAAACCCACATATAACTTTTGACTCCCCGAAACTTAACTACTAAATGGCCTACTACTGACTGCAAGTCTTACCGATAACATGCAGTCAATGAACACATATTTGTATGTTATAGATATTACATAACTGTATTACAATAAGTAAGCTAGAGAAAAGAAAATGTTATTAAGAAAACCATAAGAAAGAGAAAATACATGTACAGTATTTATTGAAAAAACCTGCATATAAGTGGACCCACGCAGTTCAAACCTGTGTTGTTCAAGAGTTAACTGTATCAGCAAAATGTTGACAGTGTTTATTTCTGGGTGGTAGTTTTGTATTTTGTTTGCTTTTGCTTGTCTATATTTTCTAATATTACTGCAATGAAAATGTATTACTTATGTAATTTTTTGTTTTTTTAGATTTTTTTTTTTTATTGGGGAATTGGGGAGCGGAACAGTGTTGGGGAATTGGGGAAGGAGAACATTGTGTTTTTCCAGGACCCATCAGCTCCAAGTCAAGTTTGTTGTCCTTCAATCTTAGATGTGGAGGGCGCAAGCTCAGCTCTAAGTCCAGTCACCGCTTTCAATCTAGTTGGGGTGGGGGGCGTATAGTCCACCGTCCCATGTGGGAGTCAAACCGGCAACCTTGTTGCACACTGAGCAATCTGGCAGCCCATGGGCAGCTCGCTGCTACTTAGCTCAAGGTGCTGTGTTCAATCTTAGTTGCTTGGGCAGAGGGGTGGAGAACGCAGCCCAGCATCCCACGCTCTCACCAGCTCAGTGGCAGCTCAGCTCGGGCACAGTTCACTAGCCCATGTGGGATTCGAACTGGCCACCCTGTTGCAGAGCTTGTGCTCTTAACCAACTGAGCCACTTGGCAGGCGCCCTTATATAATTTTTAAAAATAGTCCCCAGAGGGCCGGCCGAGTGGCGCGATGGTTAAGAACTGGTTTGGGACACCAGAGGGCCCCGGTTCGGATCCCACATATGAGGGCCAGTGACACTGCCCTCTACAGCTAAGATGCTGAACGACAGCTCAACCTGGNAAGAGCTACTGTAAATTTTTAAAGGATAGACTTTTAAAAATAAAACTGGTAGCTTTTAGATGTTGTGTTTTAGTGAAACCTCTCTGAATTTGGCAACCTTGGGTATTCACGCATTCTTTAAAAAATGAATAAAGTACTGTCTCTGTCCTTTTTGAATTCAAAGACTCCAGAAAAGGGCAGATACAGTAACAGATAATCATAATATGGTGTAGGGCTAAGCTATGGGAGCACAGAGAAAGGAATGAATAATACTACAGAAGTTGGAGGTCTTCATAGCTGAGTTTTGAAAGATGAATTGGGTTTATCAGGCAAAGGAGCAAAAGAAGCCCTTTGTACAGAGGGATTAAGTGTAAAGCTGCAAAGCTATGGAAAGTCTTGACTGAGGAACAGTGAGAAGCTCAATGTGGCTAAAGCAAGGGCTAGGTGTGGGGAGGAGTATAGAAATGGCAGGAAATGAGTCTACAGAGGAAGAAGATTGGGGCCAGATTAGAGAAAACTTAAAACAATACAGAGAAGTGAAAAGAAAATAAATAATTCATAATTCTACCACTGAGAATGAATCATGCTTAATTTTGGTGTACGTATTTCCTCACAGTATTATAACTCCTCTAATTATAAAAGTAATACATGTTCAAAAGCAAATAATCTTAAATATAGAAGCACAAAATAGATACACTGGAGACCAAGATAGTTTTCTATGGCAAGCCATTTACTGTTCCTTTTAACTTCTTTGAGGTTTGGACAAAGAAACCTGTTTGATCCCAGCTGTGCAGGAGCCGCAGTTTCCCCAGAACTACAACCTCGTAACAGAGAACCTAGTCCTGACAGAGTACACCTTGTACTTGGGATTCCACAGGTAACTCTTTTGATGTCATTAGGAAAGAACTATTTAGTTGGGCTGATAACTAGAAAGTTGAAGGTGAGTCTTATAATCTCTCTTTCTGCTGAAGGGTCACATTAGGACCTAGTAGGAAAAGGGCATTATATGCATTTACTTGTGTTTATATGAATTAGCTTTGTCCATAAAACTTGAATTTATTCTTAATTTTTGACCTGTTAAACTTTTTAAAATTAAAGATACACTATTATGTTTCTCTAAAGACTTGCATATTTTTAAATCACTATTTTCCTGTTGTCATAGGTGAAAGCAGAATTGTTTTCATTTAACATTTCACTTTCTGCTCTTGAATTTAGATTACTTATTACTCCTGATGAAAAAAGACCAAGCTCTACTCTATGGTGTAAAGACGAAATTGGCAACATTAAAGAAATGTTTATATGGGATTCTGATAAGATCAGTAGGACCACAAAAGATCTGTGTTTCAAAGATAAAGAAGATTCTAGAAGTGTCAAGATTTGAGAACTAGAGTGCATGACTTCCAAAAATGGTTCTGGTTTGAGCTAGCTATATGTCATTCTATGATTTTTTTTCCCTTTTGGTTTACCGTATTTCCCCATGTATAAGACGCACGTTAATTTTGGGGCCCAAAATTTGAAAAAAAATGTATTACATGAAGTTATTGAACTCAAGTTTTATTCATCATAAAATTCATACAACTCCTCATCACTGTCAAAAAATCTACAACCACTGTATAAGACACCCAGTTTTTA